ACTGTGCATAAGATTTTTATTTTGATGTAATCCCAATAGTTTATTTTTGCTTTTATGTCCCTTACCTCAGGAGACATATCTAGAAAAATGCTGCTACTGCCAGTGTCAGAGAAATTACTGCCTGTGCTTACTTCTAGATTTTTATCATTTCAGGTCTCACATTTAGGTCTTTAGTCCATATTGAATTTGTGTAGGGTGTAAGAAAGTAGTCCAGTTTTTTTTTAATTATGATAGTCACAGAGAGAGAGAGAGAGAGAGAGGCAGAGGCACAGGCAGAGGGAGAAGCAGGCTCCATACACCGGGAGCCTGACGTGGGATTCGATCCTGGGTCTCCAGGATCGCGCCCTGGGCCAAAGGCAGGCGCTAAACCGCTGCGCCACCCAGGGATCCCAAAGTAGTCCAGTTTTCCTAACACCATGTGTTGAAGATACTGTCTTTTTCCTATTGTATATTCATTCCTTCTTTGTCAAAGATTAGTTGACCATATGTTTGTGGGTTTATTTCTGGGCTTTGTATTCTGTTCTATTGATCTAGGTATCTATTTTTGGGCCAGTACCATACAGTTTGATTACAGTTTGTAAAGATACAACTGGAAGTCTGGAATTGTGGTATATCCTGTTTTGGTTTTCCTTTCCAAGATTTGGCTCTTTGGAGTCTTTTGTGATTCCATAAAAATTTTAGGACTGTTTAGTCTAGATCTTTGAAATGTGCTGTGTTTTCTTAATTTCACTTTCTGCTGCTTCATTATTAGTGTTTAGGAATGCAATAGATTTCTGTACATTGAATTTGTATACTGCAACTTTACTGAATTCATTTATCAGTTCCAGCTGTTTTTGGAGTCTTTAGGATTTTTTCTGTATAGTATCACATCATCTGCAAATAGTGAAAAAGGAAAACATAATTTGAATTTCAACTATTTCTGGGATGCCTGGGTGGCTCAGTGGTTGAGCATCTGCCTTCTTCTCAGGGTGTAATCCTGGAGTTCCAGGATTGAGCCCCACATCGGGCTCCTGCATGGAGCCTGCTTCTCCTGCCTCTGCCTATGTCTCTGCCTCTCTCTCTCTTCTCTCATGAATAAATAAATAAGCAAAAATCTTTTTTAAAAAAAGGAATTTCAACTATTTCTTAGACCATCCTGATTAGGAGTTTTTAGTTTCTTAGAATGATGTGGAGATTGATACAAGAACTCTCTGTATGTCTTTTAAAATTTATTGTACATATAATATATAAATATGTGTATAAATATGTATATTATATATATATGTATGTATAGTTGTATATATATTTATGTATAATGAGCTATACGCAATTCTTTTTATAAAATAAGTGTTTATTAATCTTAACAGATACTGCTGTTGCCTTTATAAAATTCTGAGTTTAAGACCCTATTTCTGTATCATATCTATCATCTATCTATCTATCATCTATCTATCTATCTATCTATCTATCTATCTATCTATCTATCATCTATCTATGTAACTTCAAGCTAAATGGGCCTTATTTGTCACAAGAGTAAATATTCTCTGGTTTCTAGAGTAGGCAAAATCAGTTGTGCAGTATTCTTGAGTTCTGATATACTGAATACTTCTGACTCAATATGCTACATCATACACTAACACAAGGATAAAATCATGGTAGCATTTAAAAGGAATGTGGCAAGGTGCACAGACCTGAGTAACACAGGATTTTGGAGAAATCTGATGTCCATGTAATATTTTCTCACATATTTTTATATGCATCCCACTCTTCAGCATAGAGAAGTAGGAATATAAGAATTTTGGAATCCAAAAGTTGGAGATTAAATCCCTATTCTATCCGTACAGGCAAGTGATTTGTCCTCTCAAATATCAGTCTCATCATTTTTAAATATGGAGATGTCAATACAGGGCTGCTTGATGTTCAAACGTAATCATTTGTGCACAGAGAAGACACATAATAGGCACCAAATGTATTGTAGTTAATGTGGTCAATAACTGAACTAGAGCCAGGTTTCTATATATTTAATTCATTCCAAATTCAAAACGACAATGAATACAGTTAAAATAACTTAATCAAGCACATCTTGCATGCTTTTTTTAAAAAGCAAAAAATATAAAAAGATTATCTTTTGCTAGTTTTTCTGAATTCCTCAATTTGCAGCTCTTGAATGAGAACTACTATATCCATTTAAAAAATTAGTATTTTGCCTTTGTTCATATTAAGCTTTTAATAAGTTTTCTAACATTTGTGGATGTTTGTACCTCCAAATAGTCATTCTTCAGATTTTACTGCTGCCTCAAGAAAGAATTCCTTCCTTTCTCTTCTCCTCTACATTTCTAACCAGTCTTCTCAGGTATTTTAATTTATCTAGATCTTTCCATTCTCTGAAGCTCTATCCTCCTATATACATTCAGGCATCTGTTTCCCTATATTTAGAGTTTTAATTTAGTTGTGTGGCACTTTCTTGACATCTGTGACTTTTTATATCCCCCAAAGCCCTTAGCACAGTAGCAAGCTGATAGTAAATGTTCAACGTTTTTGCTAGTTGTACCTAATTGGGAAAAAATCTCATTCTAAGTATGTGATCCAGTGACAGGTCATAAATACAAAAGTTTGAGTTTGGTGCTCTTCTACCTCTTGTTACATTTTAAGATTTCACATCTCAGATGTCAATTCGTATAGCTTATACCAAGAAGGTATCAATGGTGACTCATTACTCCAAAATTTCAAAAAGTCTTCCCTACTATCACTTGTCCTAACTTGAAATTCCTTCCTTTCTGAACACTGTTTCATGAAAAGAAGCCCTGGAATGTATTCTTCTTAAGATAAGAATGCTATCTTTCCTAAGATACTTTCATAAGGTTAAAATAATGAGGATATAGCAGATCCCAATCTTGGTTAAGGGCGGAAGGAGGAACTGGATTTTATTTGGAATAGATCCTCATTTGAATAAATGTTCACTGAAGTGAGTAAGCAGAGGCATTTCCATCTAAAATTTGGAGAAGAGACAGGAGAAGGAGCAGTTCAAAGAAGCAGGAGTCTAAATTTTCAGGAGTCAATTTTAAATTTTGTGCTTGTGCATGTTCATTACAGACATGATATGAGTACAAGAATTCTAGGTACAAGGTCTGGTTTTTCTAGAGTCAGTTTGTTATTCATCTCTGCATCATAACATCTAGTATGGAGTCACAGAAACACTGTTGTACTGAAAAATTATTCCTGTCTGACTCTGGATTCTTCCTCAGAGACAAATTATTGATCAAGGTAAAATAAGGCCAAGTTAAAATGTGACAACACAGTAAGAAATATTACTACAAGTAGTGTGATACTAAGAGAAGATGGTTAATTTAGAAGATGGTTGGTATCCTTGAGCTCAGGTTCCCACTCCACTGTATTCAGCCATTCATGATATGACCCATCATTCAACCTCTATTATTTTAGCTTTCTCTTCCATATATGAGGACCTTAAATCTCTAAGCCTTTTCCCCTCCTAATTTTTTAAAAAAATCTTTGATTCTCTCAGATTAAAAAAAAATTTCTTCAAAATACTTCCATTTAAACTATTTTTATTTAAATGAATTTCAGTTGTCTAAGACCTTTCTCTAAATATTTCTTTTAAATCATTTTTTCTAGGGTTTTATGATTGATTACATCTTTGTAGCATCTCTAAGAAGGGTAGAAAAGAGCTAAACATTTGTGGGACATCTCATATAAGCCAAATTTTTCATATTTATTTCATTCTCATGCCTTATGAAGTGGCAATTTTCTCCATTTTAAAATTAAGGAAACAGAGAAGTCAAGTAGCATTCTGAAGGCCAGGCAAGAGCTAGGCAGTGCCAAACTCTCCTTTCAGGTCTGATTGATTTAAGAATCCATGTTCTTTCTAGTACATGATGCTGGCATTCTGTAAAAAAAAGTAGGTATTCCTACTTAACAGATGGCAAGACTGAGGTACAGAGAAGCAGAGACTTCCTCAATTTTGTAGTAAATCAGCAGTTTGGGTGCCAGAAAGAAACTCAGGTATTTTGGAGTAGAGTATAAGCTCATCACAGGGTGTAGGAAAAGATCCTTTTGTATGATAACTTTATTTGATGCCACCATTGAATTTTCAGGGTTTTAAAATAATGAGATATGAGATAATATCTTATTGTATTTATATTTTTTAAATGAAATTCTAGTAATACAACTGTTTTCTATAGACTGTTTCAGAATGAACATTTTATTTTTTATTTTTTTTCTATTTATGTTTATAGAAAACAGTTTTCTATAGACTGTTTCAGAATGAACATTTTATTTTTTATTTTTTAAAAATTTTTTTTAAATTTTAATTTATTTATTTATGATAGGCACACAGTGAGAGAGAGAGAGAGAGAGAGAGAGAGAGAGAGAGAGAGGGGCAGAGGGAGAAGCAGGCTCCATGCACTGGGAGCCCGATGTGGGACTCGATCCCGGGTCTCCAGGATCGCGCCCTGGGCCAAAGGCAGGCGCTAAACCGCTGCGCCACCCAGGGATCCAGAATGAACATTTTATATCCTAGAAAGGGCTAGGAAATTTGATGAAACTTTCTTTTTCCAAACCATGCGCCCGAGACTCCCAAGCTCCTCAACCCCTGCCTTACACATACATGATATCTAGAGCATGATAGGGCTTAGTCTTGAGCTTTATTTCTTCTTATAAAAATAATTTTCTTATCCGAAAATAATTTGTAATGCTGCACAGTACTATACTTCCTTGTGCTTCAGAAAAGAACATTTTTCCTCTGAATGTTCCTTGTGTTGGCTTTTTTCATCCTCTCCGTCTGTGTTGGCTTCTAGCCTTCTGTTCCTTTCAGTGCATTTGGTCTTGTGCCAAATAAGAGTCATCACTTAGCCCAAAAGTATCGTTTTCCAACACACAGAATCAGAAGGAAAACCCCGCCTATTACACCCACTGCCAATTACCATACCACAAAACTGACTAGTTGCATCATTGGCCCATCACTTGTGAATTTCTGCCTTCCAGAGCTTGTATTCCTGCAGAGAATGAGTTTGAGCCACATGGAAGATATGTCTTTAAGCCATTCAAGTCCTCAAGGGACACACAGACTATCCTGGAAGCAATGGTTGCTCTACTCAACAACAGTTACTTTGCTGTTGATTTGCTCCTTCAGCACATTAATTCTTACTTTTCTTCCATTCAAGGTAAGGAGACAACAGTACCTATAACTGCTGTTTTTCTTTTGTAAGTCTAGTTATTATCATTGTCACTCAGTACTGTTAGAGCTAATTGGAAGAGATGTATGGGTACAGATAATGCAAAAAGAATTTCAATTTTGTTGTGGCATATGGCTTTTTAGGCTTATCTAAATGTTTTGAAATAAAAGGTATTAGAAAATGCCAAGTGTTAGATGCATAACTGGGCTAGATAGAATCACTTAATTAAATCAATTGACAGATGCCTTGGAATATTTTCTCCCTTTCTGGAACTCTGCTAAGCCCTCTTGGTGGAATAAAGGTATAAAACATATGTTTGCCTTCAAAGAATGGGATGCAAGCTATCATCTTATTGAGGGAAAAGATATAAGAAGATAATGGAAGAAAGAATAAGGTAGGCAACAGGTGGTTAGTGCATCTTTGTGGAAGGAATTGGCACTGAACTAGGAGTAAGATCTGGATTCTGGTTCTAGGTTACCCTAGCTGTATGAATTTAAGAAAGACATTTAATCTTTCTAGTTCTCAATTTCTTCATCTGAAAAATGGTGGTAGGAGAATGGATTTGTTTATTACAGTGCCCCTTCTAGGTATAAAATACAGTGATTAATAATTTAAGGATAGTATAGAACATAGATACTTTAGGAATTCAAAATAGGGGACAATCACTTTGGACTAGGGTGATCAGGGAAGGCTTCATGGAGGAAGGAGGAAGCACATTACTATTTGGGAAGCCCCTGATGCTTATCAGGAATTTCCCATTGAGCTCCAATCCAAGTTGTGGATCTAGTAAAGGAAATGGAGATATTTAGGTTTTTGCTGAAGTTTTTCTGATGGTTGACTACGTAATATTGATCAAAAATAAAAGAAGAAATGCCTTATTTAATTTAGGATTTTAGTCTATTTCTGGGTACATTTGGAGATTCTGAGCCTTAGAGAGAATAAGGTAGTATATGCCTGTCTAAGAAAGGGCTATGATATGAAATTAGCACCCGGGAAAACACTTTTCTAAGGTGATTGGCCAGTGAGGGTTTCAATGACATGTTTCTACTAATTAAGATATTTAAAAGTAAATGAGAAAAGATGCAAAAAGAAGTACCTTGTAGTTGCTGATGTCAACTTAGGGCAAGTGCAGCTTTGGCCAAATTTTTATACAGTCACCTATTAATCTGTATTCCCTAACTGTACACTAGGATATGCAACAGAAGCATTTCTAATCATACCCCATTCTCTCCAGGAACGCAAACAGAAGTCTGAACTTTCTGGAACAGTGAACCTTTGAGCAGAAAGAAAAGAGTTGTCAGGAATTCTGAGTGTTTTGATTTCTGAAGAGGAAGGGTGAGAATAGCAATAGCTTACTTTGGAAATACTTAATCCCTTTTAAAGCCACTTCAAGGTTAGCCAGATTTCCCTGAAGAATGTAGGATATGTTATACCTGTTATCCATTTCTGCATATGACTGGGGTATCAATGCATAAACCAGACAGGAAATGTTCTTCTCAAAGGAATACAGTAGTTATTGGGATGTCTAATAATGCCAGAGGCATCTAGGACACCTCTTGCAAGAATTGAATTTGACCAATCCCATGTGTTTGAGCTCTGATTCTCTCTCCTAGACAACATGCATCTTCTCAATGAAAACTTCTGCCTCTACAGAAATAGCCAAATTTATTTCAAGTTTGGGGAAATTTAAAAGGTTTTCAGGATATTTTCCTGATTGGATAACATAAAGGCTTATTTCCTATAGCACAAGCCAATGGTCCAGCAGATGATACAATATTAACTCACTTTCCACTTGCCTAAACTTCCTTTTCCTTAATGGTCACAAAAAAAGTATCTTAGGAAAGGAGGACTGAGTAGCTAGCGGATGTTGAGTCATTATGAGGTGGCCACTTCCACCTTCTTACAATATGCATAAACCTTGGAGATTTTATTTGGTCTCCACTTTAGTTTTTATATACAAAATCCCACTTTCCCACTTCTCTAGGCACTAATTCAAAAAGTGTTAGATAGGAAAATTAGTCCTTCTAGACCAACAGAAATTTCCTTGAGAGAACATTTTTTTCTCCCCTCTCACCCCATCTTTCAAAGGGATTGTTTTGATGTTGGATTGTTTCAGTTGAACAACTGAAATTATTGACTATGAACCCAAGAAGTTTGGTCTACCCCTCAGTGAAAATAACCTCATAGAAGTTATCTTTAAAAAAATGCCAAACCCAAAAACCAAATGTTCAGAAGAGACTCCTGCTTCAATGAAATGAAAGGTGCTTCCTAAAGGGGAAGTTGTGCTTGTTCTTAAAAGCAGAATAGAGTCTATTTCCGAATGATGATCTATATTAGGATTAGTTTGGAGAAAGAATGATTGTTTTGGCCATTTGAACCCAGGCATTTAAATCTGGGCTTAAATCATAATGGGGTTAGAAGAGCAATTGCTCCTTCAAAAGCAAAAATGAATTAAATGGGAAGTCCCATATGCTTCTTTATAAATGGATATTTACCCCTTCCAAACATCAACAGAATTATAAATAGAAACTGCCCCCACAGAGTAGTGGGGGTGAGACTTTTGAATCAGACAGGCTGTTTGGATTTCAGCATGGCCTCTTATCAGCTATATGACCTTGGACTAATTACTTAATCCCTCTCAGACACACTTCCTCATCTGCAAATGAGCATGCTAGTTCTTATCCCATAGACCTGCAATAAGGATTAATGAGACAGTATAGTACCTGACCCATAGTAGGCTCTGAATAAATTGTAGTGATTAATATTTACATCATTATTATTGACATCATAGTGCAGATCAATTTAAAAAGATTTTTAACAAAATGGATATTCCTTGCTCATCTATTTCATTTCCTCAGCTAAAGAGAATCCCTTGTTGCCAAATAGATGATTTTTGTGATTAGATAGATTTTGATTTGTGGCAATAGAAAATGTTAGTGGTGGTTTCTGACATAGCTCAGAAATAGACATTAAAGCAGTCCAAGTACAGCATTTGGGATTTCTGTCTCTGGCAACTAATTTGTCTGTGGCCTTAGGTTTTTCCCTACACTCTTTATGAATGATAGTAGACACCACAGATCCTATCTGTGCCACATATTTTAGCACTCATTTATATTTAGATTGTTACCCAATTGCCTCATGTGTGTAATCATCTTTCTAGAAAGACTATAAACTGCTTAAGAGGTAAGGACTATAAATTGTATTTTTTCTTGCTGACAATGCTAGTTGGGAATATAGGTGATTCATGTTTTTTTTCAATTCTTCATCAAAATCAGCATCATTATTGAAACAGGTAATATTTAATGAGCAGGACCAGATCTGTCTGAGAAAAGTCCTCCTTAACAATTATTACATTTAAACCCATAAATACCTTCAGTGAGCTAGATGCTATTTTGTCCTCCATTTTATAAACGAGAAAATTGAAGATAAGGAAATCCCTACCACATGACTACCATGGATCAAACTAAACTGAATTTCAGCATTTCTTTTAAGAAATCCCAAAAGGAGGATGAAATAATCGCAAGAGCAAAAACAACTGTAGGAATCCAAGCTTTTTTGTTGCACCTCTTTATCAATAAAATATTTTTAGTACAATAACAACATGTATGGTAATTTATTATGTTACATAGAAGTACTAATACTATATATAATAAAAAGATACACAAAATGGAAACTTATAAGGTTAAACTAAATAACATGCTTGCTCTAGTTTATTCACAGTGCAAGACTGTTTTTCTTTTACCAGAATATTATATTCTATATGTTAATATGATATAAACATTTCTAAACTAATCAAAATAAAATTTCAGTAATTTGACAAAAGTGTTTCTTTTATATTCTTAATCTTAGTTTAACACTTTGTGATACAATAATTTGAAGGCTATATTCTAAGTTAATTTACTTTGATTCATGGGTTTTGACTGTCATAACCTATATTTCTCCATTCTCCTCTACTTGACTATTTTATTCCTTTAACTTCTATTTAAACATGCAATAGCTTTTCCCCATTCTTTTTCTTACCCGAAAACCTTGCCTCCAATTTCTATGAGAAAATAGAAGTAGGCAAGAAAGAAGTTCCAAAACTCCCTAGCATATCTACCACTTACCTGCAAGTTTGTTCACATAGACTTATGTTTCCCTTTTGTCACTGTGTGTGAATTATTCATGTACCTATGTAAGGCCACCTGTGAACCAGATTCTATCCCCTCTTACCTACTCAAAGACATTGCTCCAGCAATTATCCCCAGCTCTTAAATTCTATCCTCCCCTGCCCCCTTTACTGGAACATTGTCATCAAATGGCAACAGATAACCATGTTGTCAGTTCTCTCATGTTAAAACAAAACCACCACAACAAAAATTTCTTTGACCTCCTATCCCCATCAAGACTCCAATTAATTTCTCTATTTTACTTTACAGCAAACTTCCCCCAATTTCTCTTTTCTTATTTAACTTTATAGACATTCTAATTATTAAGCTTCTGTCCTCATCACATTCCAGAAATTGCTTTTGCCAAGAACCCCAGTGACGACTGTATTGTTAAATCCATCAGTTAATTCCCTGTCCTCTTCTCGCTTGACTCAGCAGCATTTGATACAGCTGACCACTTCTTGCAATACTTTCTTCTCTGGGTTTCCAACATCACACTCCCCAGGTTTCCCTTCTGACTCACTGGCCTTTCATTCTTAATCTCCTTTGGTGTTTCTTCCTCATTCCCTGACCTCCAAACATTGCAGTGTTCCAATGCTCCTCTCTATCTATACTCATTGCCAGAACAATCTCACATGATCTCACGTCTTACAATGTCACACAACAGCTTAAGACTCCAATTTTTATACCATCAGAATTCCTTAGATTCCATCCTCATAGGTCTGCCTAGCTGACACTCCTACCTAGATATGTAATAAGCATCACAAACTTGATATGTCCAAAAGTGAATTCATCACTCTTTCCTCTCAATTTACTCCTCTTGAATCTTGTTCATTGCAGTGATTAACAACTTCATCTTTTCAATTACTGATGCCCAACATGTTTAAGTCATCTTTTTCTTCTCATTTTCTCATCACATATCCATGTCAGGATAGCCAGCACCTTGGTCAGAGGCATCATGCTTTCTTGCCTAGATGATTATAGTGAATTTTTGGCTGGTCTCACTGCTTTTGCCATGGGGTCTGTTTGCTTTATTCCTACCATAGCAGCCAAAGAAATTCCATAAAAAACGTGCAATATCTTTAAGTTCAAAAAGTCTCCTAAGCACTTTGCTGCAGGGAAACCAAAGAACTATACATGGTACAAAAAATATCTTGTGATTATATCTTATTTTACTACTAAGTATTTTAAAGCCTTTGGCGTTTAAATACCAGTATTTATAGAATTAGCCACACTGATGGCTTCTTGTAGCAAGTAAACTGTGGTATGTTACGATATTTTGAAACTAGTCTCCTCACAGTATCTCACTTACTGTAAGTGGTGTGATTGTCTGCATATTAAATGAGGGCAGCTTTACCAGTCTTCATGGTGAGTATTTCTATAGTTTGATTTAATATTATTAAAAATAAAAATAAACTTAACTAGACATTCTATTATTTTCTTTTCACATGCCAGTGGATCACCTTGTGTACTGACTGGGGCATAGAGACTACTATATATAGATAATTTCTATAGCCCAAGAGGAAGAGAGTTCAAGATAAAATAGTTGCCCTGTGGGTAGAGGTTAGGTGGATGGGAGGAGAACTTAACTTTTGTCTAGAAGACTCAAAAGGGCAGTTAGGTAATAAAAGGGAAAGGACAGAACCAGCTGTCTGCAATGGGAAGCTGAGACAGGTGAGACAAGGTGGAGGGAAGAATTTTTTAATATGACTCGGGAAAAGAAGTTTGCTTCAGGATCTGAAGCTCTAAATAAATCAACCAAGAAATCTGTGACACTGTCATTCTCCTGACCAATTCCTCTTTTTCTTCCTCTACAGACTGCCAGTGAGCCCTGTGTAGCTAAGTTTGGTGAGTAACCTATCTTTCATACCTCCTTTTTACTTTTCTTAGCATTTGATGCAAGAAGGAAGCCCATATCCTACTTTAGTCATTTTTAAACCACTATTTATAACTGTTTATCTTGTGTCAAGCAGTTTTCTAGCAGCTGAGACTTCAGAGGTAAGCCAAACAGACAAGTCCATGCCCTGATAAAGCTTACATTCAAGGTCATTTCTCTGGGCAGGAATACACATCACTCTTATAGGGCCAGGACCTGAAATCCAGGAATCCACCTTTAATTTTGCTTTTTAATAAGCACAAGCTACAAATTTCTACAACTCAAAGTTCTCACATTTCACATATTGCTGATGCTCAGTACAGTGCGTGGTGGTTTTTTTTTTTGTGTGTGTGTGGTTTTTTTTGTTTTTGTTTTTGTTTTTGTTTGTTTGTTTTTTTTTGCCACATAGGCAGAAAAATTAAACCAAAAGGGTAAAAAGTCCCTCTGTCTCGAGGTTAAGAAAGCCAAATAGAGATTAGGATAAAGTTGTGGGGCATTTATGTTTACTAAATACACAGATTGTCCAGCTTACTTGGTGGAGTGGAGGGTGTGATGGAGTCTCAGAAGCACGAGGCCAAGGAATTGGGGATAGTGGAAAGGAAGAGTCCCACCAAGGGTGAAAGAATCCAAGGCTTTGTTTTTTTTCCCACATATCTTTGTGTATACGGAAGAAAAGTGAAAACCATGCAATAGGGACTCATTCCCAGAACATACACAGATTGCAAAATACCAGCCTCAAGAAGTAACACCTGTCCTAACCCCCTGCTGGCTCTGTGCATTTTTGTTTACAAATGTATAGAAAAGGAATGAAAGCCAAGGAAATGGCTATTTTCTTTGTGCTCTCCTATCCTCTCAGTTTCTAGCCACTTTGCCTTAAAGTGACCTGGTACTTGCTAAGAAAACCATTAAAGTTTCCAGTCACACCGGGCCTTAGGGTATTTCTTAGAATACATACAAAATTGAAAATAAATACATTTGGATTGTTTATGTGTTTCAGGCCACACACACACACACACACACACACACACACACATTTTCAGTGGGGAGCAGAACATTTCTTTTTTTTTTTTTAAAGATTTTATTTATTTATTCATGACAGAGAGAGAGAGAGACAGAGACAGAGACAGAGACCCAGGCAGAGGGAGGAGCAGGCTCCATGCAGGGAGTCTGACATGGGACTCGATCCTGGGACTCCAGGATCACACCCAGGGCGGAAGGCAGGCACTTAAACCACTTAGCCACCCAGGCTGCCCCAGAACATTTCTAAAGTTCACTGCAACTCCTGTTTTCCTATATAGTTCGAATTGCCACACTTCCCTGGCTTTGGGATTAAGGAATCTCTTTTTGAGGAATCTAGTCTCGGCCTTTGTAATTTGTTTTTGTTTTCCTAGTGAATGGAGTGGAAATCATGATATGTTTGAAATTCCTTCTTGAGGTGATAAAATGTTGAGAACCTCAAGTGTTGCTGAGTGGCTTCAAGTCTTTAAGTGGTCCCTATTACAGAATAAGAGAACCAGTGACACTTTTTCCTGGTGACTTGCCAATTATCTACTGCATATTATATGTAAAGCAGGAAGAAATTCACTGGGCTTTGGGTTCATTGGAGATACAGAGAGACTTTGCTTCTTGCTCTAATGATCTCTCCTTCATTCTCCTTTAGAATCTACCCTCAGAGCTTTATAATCAATCATTTATATATAAATAAGAATTTACATCAACGTGTGATCCCTTCTGGGTTGCTTTCTTATCAAGGTTTCTTTGTAGTTATCAGACTTTGCCTTCATAAGCAAAAATTACAGAGAATTAGAGAACAGGCCAAATAAGTATTTTGAAGGATCAATACACCTCCTTGGGCTCTGAAATCACACTACTATGCAAAAACAATTAACATTAGGAAGATATGTACATTCCACATATACCTATGAAATAAATGGTCAAGTCTTGATTCTTTTCCCATCCTCTGTGACAGTATTAAACTAGGGATACTTTAAACAGTCAAATTCAAATAGTTTCCATTTATAAACTCATGAATTTACTAGTAGTTACTTTTGAAGAATTGGATAATGATATCCCAATTAGATCTTGGGTATATACCCATAAACTAAAAAGAAGAGCCATGATTTAGACACAATGCACCAAATTCAGGAACATGGATGTATCATTCAATCAAGAAATATTTATTGAGGACACACTAGGTTCCGGGAACTCTTTTAGGTGCTAAAGATATAGCAATGAACAAAATAGTGAAGCACTTGTCCTCAAAGATGTTATATTCAAGTGGGTATAATATAAAAAATAAACAACTGAGCAACTTAATTTATAATATGCTAGATGGCGACACACTTTCTATAAGGAAAACTAAAGCAGGATAAAGGGAGAGAGTGGCAGGAGACCACTATTTTATGTAGATTGACGAGAAAGGTCTCATTAATAAAATGATACACAGTAAATAGTACCTACATAGAAAAGGATGAATATGCATGAACTGTCACGTTTGGTTATCACAATCCTGGCTTGTGATTCCTCTTTCCCTTCCTCCTTCTTTATTTCCCTTCACAAATGTTAATTGACAAGAGATGAAATGCCACCTAAAACTTAACAACCCATTTTTCTATTCAAAGTCCATTTCTTGGGGGATCCCTGGGTGGCGCAGCGGTTTGGCGCCTGCCTTTGGCCCGGGGCGCGATCCTGGAGACCCGGGATCAAGTCCCACATCGGGCTCCCGGTGCATGGAGCCTGCTTCTCCCTCTGCCTGTGTCTCTGCGCCTCTCTCTCTCTCTCTCTCTGTGACTGTCATAAAATAAATAAAAATTTAAAAAAAAAAAAAAAAAAAAAAAAAAAAAAAAACAAAGTCCATTTCTTTAGAATTCTCCAATCAAGAGATTTCTCTACAACAAGTTTCTCTAAAACAAAATACTAAAATTTTGGTTGGAGAGAACTATACAGACTAAGAAACAACTTGGAAGTAAGAAAGAACTATAATCAGGAAAGGAAGGAAATAAATAACTATGCTTTCCTTTTTTTTTTCTCCTTTATAAATTTTTTACAGGACCATTACCTTCAAAATGGCAAATAACATATCCTAAGCTTCCTTGTGTGAATAAGACAGCTGAAGAGAAACTGGAGATACTTCAGAATGGCTTATATCTAATTTATGGCCAAGTGGCTCCCAATACAGCCTACAAGGAACCAGCTCCTTTTGAGGTGCGGCTATATAAAAATGAAGACATCATACAAGCTCTAACAAACAACTCTAAAATTCAAAATGTAGGAGGGACTTATGAATTACATGCTGGAGATATACTAGACTTGATATTTAATGCTGAACATCAGGTTCTAAAAAATAGTACATACTGGGGGATTTTATTGCTGGCAAATCCCCAATTTATCTCCTAGACTTGATTTGGCCTTTGCATCATCTTTAGCACATGCAGAGATGCTGGTGAGTATGTTGGAGGAGGCAGATTTTCAACACCCACAGTTTGAGTACAGAAATCAACACAAATGGAATCCCTTTGCATGTGACTTTGCATCTCTCAAGCTTATCTGAAAAAGACTCAAAAGGCAGCCCAGAGATATTCGCTTACGCCTGACATTGGGTCAGCAAAGATGCTTTACTAACCCATGATAAATGACTGTGGGTAGCTCAGGGACACAAGCTTCTCGAAGAGTCTTTGTCTACTTCTTGAATGCTTAGATGGAAAAATTGTCTTATTGTCCTGGGAGACTTACCTGGTATGCAAAAAAAAAAAAAAAAAAAAAAGATTCAGGGGAGTAGCCTGGCTTTGTTCTTATATTCTTGGTCTGTATCACTTTATTCTTCCTGTACTCATGTTTTTTGAGGCCCACCTATTAAAAGTGGCCAGACTGGGAGGGTGGCCACAGATATGCCAACAACACCCCACTTTAAATGTGGTAATATTAAGAAGACAGACATGTTCTCTAAAGTTAGAGAACTATAGGGACAGAAGCGCAGATGGCATAGAATGGAATGCACTTTACTTAGGAATTTCCCTTGATTTCATCACATTCAAGATACAGAATGCTTAATAAAACCAGTTAGTCAAAGGGCCCTCCTTCATGTAGGGCCCATGAGAAGTTGTTGTTTATGTATGTCTAAATGTTGTCAGTAGTAAAGAGTAATCATTAGTAATCATAAAAATTAAACCGCAGAAATTGGCATCATCAAAAAATATATTGTCATGTAATAATTTCATATTTTTAGCTGGCTCTCCACAGTTTGGAAAATGCTTTCATATATCATAGGGCAACTCTATAAAGTGAATGGGGCAGGTGTTTTTGGCACAATTTAAACAATGAAAATAAGAAGACATCTAGAACATAGGTAACTTGCTTCAATCCATAGAACTAATGATTTATGGGGCCGGTGGGTTTCCCCAGTGTATCATACTATCTCAGCTTTAGGGGTAGTACTGACTTTAAAGCTTATTAAAGTTTAGCAGATTTAATTATTAGGAGATGCATTCTCTTTCAGCCCAAGGTGGGTAGAATAAAACTACAACTGATCTCTCCTTTCTTAGCAAACTACTTTTCCTTTCCCAGCTTGAAACAGGGAGCACAAGGGTATTGCTTAGGGCTTACTCCAACCAAATCCACTTCCTTACTTTAAAGAACTTGTCTTGGTCAAATGTGTTAACTTCTAAAAATAATGAATAGCCTTCAATTCAATGATAGTCTGCTAAAGCTTTAGACTCTGTTAAATTAATTAGCTTTCTTGTTGAAAGGTATGTAATATGATTACATGATAACCCAATTCAAAATATTTATGGGTATTTGTAAAAAGCTACATTATGTTAACTAATAGTATTACATATAAAGCTAATTTAAAACTATTTGTATTATATGCAATAAAAATTGTTGGGGAGCAGACTAAGCCTGAGGCCAAGATATTTATTAGTCTTTGTTAAAAAAAAAATCTGCTGAGTAACTGTACTGGCCAAAGACTTGGATATCTTCTTTGTCTTGCATTTGCATATCTTCTCAGGAAATTAAAGTTATATAACATATATTTATAGAAACTTGTTACTGATTGTTTTTGAGTTATAAGCAAGAGTGTGCTGAAGTGCTGGAGTGAGCAAGCAGTTAGCTCATGACAGCTGATTGTTAAATTTTCAAAATTTTGCAATCTGGTTATTATTTATAGTCATCTTTGAATTGGCCAGGAGGACACAATTTATGTCATAGGAATTGACAACACAGCAAATTAGGGATTTTCCTTTCGGAAAGCCTGTTCACATCACACCACTGTTTATAGAACTCTCCTTCATAATGACTCCTCTCTGCGCCCACCTCATTCCTGGGACAGTCAAGGCAGGCAAGAGAGAAAGGGAAATTGTAATATTCCCAGGAAAAGTCCCACATCATAATGATTTCTCAGAGCAAGAGTGATCCTCAGCAGCTGCAGCCAGAGCGATGGCTAACAACAAGATGACCTTTAAATTTTCCTGATGCTGTAATTTCAGCCTTTGTTTTCATGTATACTCTGTTTTCTTTTTTCTTTGAATAATTGAAACCTATAATAAATGTATATTGGTAAGTGGACTGTAGCTGGCTTATCTGTGGGTTTAGTCAGTGATGTTGAGAACTTCAAGGTGCATCAGAGAGATCCTTGACCATATGAAACACTTACGAGGCTAGTGTTAGGCAAAAGTGAGAGCTGGATGCAATTAGCTTTTTGATTATAGCTGTCCCAATCTCTGATGAGTTAGAGAGTTTCACATTCTGACCTGTACTTACCTCCTCAACTCCACCTCAGTCATCCTCACCAACAAAGCCATCACCAACACCTCTTATACTAATTGTTTTTTACTTTTCATTTTGCCCACCAAAACTTATCATGGTAGGTTAAGTCTCTGAAGATGGCAGTTAATTAAAAAGTAATGAAGTTTTGAGCATCTGATGCGGGCAAACTAACTCCTTAAATGAAATGTATCTGTTTCATCCTGGAGATGAAATTGCTGTCTTTTTGTGTTTGATCTCAAAGAAGCAATTTCATTGGTGGGTGTGAGAGGATTTTTTAAAAATTTTTTATGTGAGAAGGAGAAGCAAAAACTTGATCAATTTATGGGTAAGGAGTCTGAGGATTACTTTCAAGTAGAATTTATAAAGGATACCTTGATACATACACTTTTCTTGATCTGATAGGATGCATCTCTATTTTGGGAATCACTAGTGACACTGGCAAAGTCACCTTAGGGGTCATGACTCCTCTGAGTCCCACATCTATCCTCAAGAATCATTTACACATGCCTTGCACCTACAAACTCAGAAAGTATGATTGTAGCAAGACTCTCCCATATCTACTACCAAGGAGTTGGCCTTCCTCTTCCCAACAGATCTGCTGGGTGGGGTCAAACTCTAGCTTACTGTCAAATTTTGCTTTCTCTGGTGGGAGTCAGGTACTAGTTCTATCTCCCAATTGCAAGAAATATACTTCAAAGCTCTTTTAGGGGTTTCCTTGAAGTCCTCTACCAGGCTTAAGGTTTAAAAGTTTTATTGTTCCCCATTCCTCCTGCAAACTGAGTGGTTGAGGACTCACAGCATGGCCGCAGCTGTTTCTTTATAAATGTTATACAAATTCTCCTTCTTACCACTCTGGCCTCATTTTATGTCTTTGATTAAGCTAATGCGTCAAAGAGTATTAGGGGAAAGGGCTTACCTTCATTTCCTTTTGTAAATTCTGCATATTGATGGGGGCAATTGTCTTACTCTCACTTTGGTTGGTATCTTAATTTGTTCATATTATGACTGAGTTGAAACAGAATCACATTGGGTCCCACTTTAACACCTAGTTATACTCTTAGATGTCAAAAAGGGATCAGAGAGAACTATGGTAACAGAAATACAAAAAGCCCCAAACTCTCATCATAAGGAGCAATAAAATGAAGGCTTAATATAAAGGCAGAGGGAAAGGAAAAGTATTGTTCAGAAAGTTTGACTTAAGAACATAATTACAAATGAACCTAAAACACTGCTTTTAATTTCTTGAAAATCAAGGAAAATTAGAGAAGCATGAAGGAAGGAAATAGAGTTGTTTTTTCCATTAAAAAATGTTTTAACACACATTGTTTTATCAAGAAAAAGCAACTTTCCCCTGATACTGAGCTCTAAGTAGATTCTAGGTCCACAATGAATGCTCTATATAGTAAAATGCATACTTCCCCATTTATTTTATTTGAATGTACTGGATTCTGTTAGCAGTTAACTAGTTTAAGGAGTTCAAAGCAGCTTAGTTGAGCTCTCACTCCAAGAACACAGCAATATTGATGAATCCCATTATACTATCTGGGAAAGTAGACTGGAGGGTATGTATAGGATCTGCTTCAAAGAACTCGGGAAGTGTTTGGGAATAGGAACATGAAAATTCAATGAACAGAATCATTAGATTAAACCAACTTCTTCTTTGCTTCAATTGCATAATCAGAATGTGAATCTCTGATTTTAGTGTCCAGAGTGATTGTTTCCACCCAGCTTTGGTGTTATCCAGGGACACTATGGGGTAGCATGTTCCTGGGCCTCAAGTATGCAGAGTCCAAGCTGGATTGGGATGAACTGGTGAGTTTAAGTTTTGCAGAATGAAAGACCCGGAGAGCATCTTACATTTCCTCCTTGCTTATGGGTTGTATCTCTTATCCAGTGGGCTAGTCTCTGAGAGGAATCTGATGTCTAAGAGTCCAGGGTCTGACACAGTGCCTGACTTAGAGTCCTTTTTGTCTATTGGGTGAATAAGTAAATCATAAATTTCCTTGAGCATTGATGAGAACTTAGCATTATTGTATGCACACTGGATAATGGAGTTCAGTGGGGAAAGCCATCTCCCATCCCATTGTCTACTGTTCTCAAGTACTCTCCTCCTTCCCCATCAAAACATTCTGAGGAACATTATTTATGTAAATAAGGCAAAGAACCTTAAAAATTCACTGGCACTAAGGGAAGATAGCCAGTAAGCTACTTCATCTTGTAGCACTAAAACAGGACAAAATTCCATTTGTTTTAAGCTTTGCTGGGCAGATGTACCAAGAAGCAATTGTCTTTATAATATCCTAAGGCCAAACAATTTATTCAATGATCAATAGTAGAGGTTTTCAAAGTGAAGTCTATGGACTCTACATCAGATCCACCAAGGATGCTTGGAAAAAACAAAGTGACTCCTAGGCTTCATTTAAGTCTACTGAATAAGTGTTTCTAGGAATGAAGACTAGGGATCAAATGGATCTTTTAATAAGCTCTGGACAATTGGTTATTCTTATGCACACTACAGTTTAAGAATTGCTGTTTTATGGCATGTAATGAATCTCAGCTAAATATTTCTCAAGTATATAAAAAGAGTCGAATCTTCTAAACAAAGAAATAAGAAAGCAAAACAAAGTGAACAACAAAACCAATGCTGGTGCAGCCCATGAGATTTAACATAATTCATCTCTCATCAAAAAGCAAATGGCCTTCTTCCCTCTAAGTTTAAAAAAAGGTCAGGGTCTTCACTTTTCATAACCTAATGGCATCTCTCACACTTGAACGTTGGCAGTCTAAGGCATCTGAGCCTTTCTACAATCACTACTACATTATCTGCCTGTACGCTGTCATTTCTCACCTATTCAGCTTTTGCCCAAGTTGCTCTCCTTTACTTCAAACTTGTAAATCCAGCTGTTTACCCAACAGTTTCACATTGGAGGTATAACAGACATCTCAAACCCAACATGTCCAAAATGTTTT